CCCTCTCTCTCTCCCTCTCCCTCTCCCTCCTCCCCCCTCCCCTCTCTAACTCTGTTGCCCAGTCAGTGATTTTCCCACCTCGTCCTCCCAAAGTGCTAGAATTACAAACATGAGCCACTGCATGTGGCCAGGTCTGTAGTTCTTCACTGAGCAAACATCACTTCTCTTGCTGGGATGATTTTACTTATGGAGGATTTTTAGGGAGTGTAATCTTGTATGTCACTCCATATGTGGAGATTTGATTAATGGCTGCCTCATCTACTAGTTTGTAGGCTTCATGAGAGCAGCGCCTGTGTCTGCTTTGGCCCAATAGTCTATCCTCAGGACCCAGCAAAGGGCCTGGCACATAAATAGATGTTCAATAAATAATTGTTGAAGAAAGAAATATCTTTGTAGGGTTGTGGGGTGAAATGATGTAGACTGTTTCTCAAGTGCTAGTTTTAGCTTGAAAGCAAAAGCATTTTTTCTGCAGTGATATAAAAAATTTGTCTTTTTAGAAATTTTCTAACAAAGGAAGAAACTCTTTAGTTGCATACTAATTTCTACACGAATAGCATTTTAACCATAGAGAAAGAGAGAAGCAGCACTATCAACTTTCAGGTTATTTATGTCAGGCAAAAAAATACTGGTTAGATTATTTAAATTTTTATACCACAAGAAATGAGCATATTATTTATTTATTTATTTATTTTAGAAAGCAGAATTTATTGAGAGGACAGAAAAGCTCCCACAGTGGGAGGGGACCCGAAGGGGTTGCCCTATAGATATTAAGTGTGAAATATACTTTGTGGCTTGCACGTGAATACAAATTAGTTCTCTTTCCCTGGACTTGGAGGAAACTGCTATTTGTGTGTAGAATGTCCTGGAGTAAACAATCGTATAGTAAAAGATTACATTAAAATAAATATCTGCACTCCAGTCTGGGCGACAGAGTGAGACTTCAACTCAAAAATAAAATAAAACAAATATCCCAGAAGGGAGGTCGACACAGGAGAATTGCTTGAGCCCAGGAGTTTGAGACCAGCCTAGGCAACATAGTGAGACCTTGTCTCTACAAACAAACAAAAAATTAAAAAATAGGCATGGTGATGCGTGCCTGTAGTCCCAGCTACTTGGGAGGCTAAGGTGGGAAGATCACCTGAGCCCAGGAGGTTGAGGCTACATTGTGCCACTACACTCCAGCCTGGGCAACAGAGTGAGACCCTGACTCAAAAACAAAACAAAAAACCCAAATCTTGGATAAGGTAAGGAAAGTTCAGGCTGTGATCTATAATATCACTGCTCGCACTGCCAGCTAGAAGAGGAAGGAGAATCTCTTCTGGGAAGTGAGTGTTAATTTAACGCTGCTACTATGTTCTTGTCTTACAAAGAACTGACAAAAACATTTTTCTCTGTGGCTGTGGGAACTAAAATTGCTCTGGTAGTTGTATTAGCAGCCGGAAAAAACTCATCCAGGCCTTTATTTCTGTTGAGTAGGACATGGTGCTCTACTTGGGGGTCATGAGTACAGATTGGCATTAGAGTAAGAACATGTAATAGGCAGTCCTTACAGGGAACAGAGCTCAGATAGGATGAAGATGACCAGTGAATCACCTTGGCCCTTTAGTGCTACTAACCCACAGCTGGGCTCCTCCCTCTGCCTCTGTCCTGCCACGGCCTCTACCTCCCACCTGTAACACCGACTGTCTTTATAGACCAGAGAAACCTTGGAGGGTCTTGCAGGCCTTGTGAAGAGACTACAAAAACAGTATACTAGGGGGAAACTTTATGTACTTTTTTTCCCTCTAGAAAAGGAAAGCAAAGGTAACTTTAACTTATATATATCTTATTGTTTAATTGTTGGAATATGCTTTGACTTCACATTGCAATAACTAGGCTCTTTAAATACACATTAGTCCAGGAGGATTATAACTATATCAAGATGAATTCAGGCTATCTGTGATTAATTTGTACTTAACAAAATACTGATAATTTGTATTCATAAAATCATTTTAGGTGTTAAATTTTTAGTAAAACATATAAATAGGGGCCAGGTTTTATCTCTTTAAAGTATCTTTCCAGAATCAGAGAACTAAAATCAAGTAGTATAATTTTTAATTTATCATTTTGCTTTAAATTTTACCCTGTTTGAGAATATTCAAATTATTAACCTCTAAGGAGATACAGAAACGTTGTTAATTTGTAATTTAGTTTTTTACACATGAAAACCTAATTGGCTGCTTATATTGACATTATGTATTAAGTGGGTTTTTGTTTTTTTTTTAACTTAGCCTCAGGTATTCTTTTAGTTTGGGTATTTCTTTTTTTCTTTTTAGAGATGAAGTCTCGCCATGTTGCCCAGGCTGGTTTTGAACCCCTGAGCTCAGGCAATCCTCTCACCTCCACCTCCCAAAGTACTGAGATTACAGGTGTGAGCCACCACACCTGGCTAGTTCCTGTGTTTCATGCAGACTTAAATAAATCAAAC